CTTTTTTTTTTTTTTTTTTTTTGGGGATTGATTATAAAAATTAACATGTGGACACATCTCCTTCAAGTTGGCAAGCTTACCACCGGACGATATGAATGCTGTGTATAACATGAGATTGCTAGAGGCATCAGCAGAAACTAAAAAAAGCTCAATTGCAACCTTCTCACTTAAGTTTGATGTTCACAAGGTATTGGATTGAATATTCAAATGATTTTCGGGTTCAATTTAACCCTGCAACAAACATTTTAGTTCTCTCATTTTCTATTGCAGAAGAAGCATGCTGCTAGAAATGACCGTCCTGGTGAAGAAGTGACGTGGCAACTATCTCGATTTTACCCTATGGTAGAGGTATGAAATGTATTCGTAACCTTTGCCAAATAGAATAGACACACACTCAAGGAAGTGTATGTATGAAGTCGTGTCTGCATTCTGACATATAGGGTATTTGAAATTGGTCTTGCCCTGATTTTGGACGAAGGCTATCAGATGACATTACCTGGTTTAGTAAGTCTCTCAAAAGTGTTTGTGTCTTTTATCATCCTATGTGCAGATAAGTTGTACGCTCATGCCAGTTGTTCAGTTTACAAATGTTCATGATATTCATACCAAAAATCTGGATTCAGTTTTCTGAGATGGCTTAAAATTAGTTTCTCCTTTGACTGCAATTCCTTGGCATTAAGTGATATGGGCTGCATATAGGAGTTCAATGAGTTTTATCCAATTCTGAGGTTTCATATTTGCTATATGGCATGATATTGGAAAATAACTTATGATAAACCCTCGACATTCAACCCTTTGGAGTTTGGAGGTAGATCATATATCTATTATCCATTCATCTGTTCTCCTGTAGCACGTTCTGTAATGCTCCAATCATTTAGTGTTAACAAACAATGAAGAGGAAGAAAATTTAAGTTGTAATTTTCCACCATGGAACAATGTGGACTTTAACTGTCTCCCTCAAAATCTTTGTTTTTTTGCTCTTTTCTCTAGTGCTGTGCTTCAAATGACTTGGTAATTTACTGATGCTCCTTCTAGGAACTTATTGAAAATCTAAGTAAAGGTGAACTACCGAAGGGTGACTACCCATGTATGAATGATCCAAGTCCATCTTTCCATGGAACCTCCCAGACAGCATCATCAGTACGGATAGGTCAAGGTCCAGCTCCTCATTCAATGAGATCAAGACGGACTGCTACATGGGCCCGTCCTCGGAACTCTGATGATGGTTATTCAAGGTAAATTGACTGGGTTTCATCTTGTGTCAGTTAACTTGCTTTATTCTGTTTTCTTTTATTTATGTGGTGCCATGTGAAATTAGCCTTGCGCTTAACTTCTTTTGATAAACTAAACAGTAACATACCTTGTAAATAATTGATTCCAATGGTTTTCCTTCTATAATTGACTATGCTTAACTCAATAAAGACTTTTACCATATTTATCCTGATTTACGATGAATTTGACTATTGTAATGAAATAAGCACTAAGAAATGTTATTACCTAACTCTTTTAGTAGACCTCTCTCTCTCTCTCTCT